AAAAATCATAAACATTAAACATATTCCTAAATCATGAATCTAGACCCAAAACATAACCTCAAATTTATAAATCTTAACGTAAAACGAACATACTCAATTTTTTCTAAACCTGTGATTATAAATCCATAAAAACGGCACTTTTGAGTGTACAACCAATATTTTTGCATATCTTTAACTCAAATTCATAGGAAGCTGATCAGGAAACCTGAAAACCTAACCTCAAATCCAAAATAATTAAGCTGAAAATCCACAGAAACAATATATTTTTCTGGATTAACATCTAAGGTTTAAGGGAATTATGTTAGGTTTTGCAAATTAGAGGTTAGGCTACAAGGTTTGTGTCATGCACAGTTGCAAAATTTTGGTTCAAGAATTTTTTTCGTAAAATGGATTGGTTTGTTTGCTATTTTTTTATTTTTAACTTAAATTTTAAACATATGAAGTTAGGTTCTAGTCCTTTAAGGTTACGTTTTATGGATTTAAATTTTAGGTATGCACAGGAAAACATAGAATGTATTTTTGAAGCAATCATATCCTTTGTTGAAGAAAATATATTGTGTCTGTGGATTTTTAACTTAATTATTTTGAATTTGAGGTTAGGTTTTCAGGTTTTCTCGTCAGCTTCCTATGAATTTGAGTTAAAGTTATGCAAAAATATTGGTTTCACACTCAAAAGTACTATTTTTATGGATTTATACTCACAGGTTTAGAAAAAATTGAGTATGTTCGTTTTAGGTTAAGATTTATAAATTTGAGGTTATGTTTTGGGTCTAGATTCATGATTTAGGAATATGTTTAACGTTTATGATTTTTTTTTGTTTGGCAGCCTTTAGTATATAATTTTCCTTTTTTTTCATTTTTTGATACCGAATATGTCAAACTTCGTATGATCGAGTTTAAGGCTACAGATTACTCGGCCATTTTGAAAAAAATCTAGGCATATATTCTAATTACCTCACCGGAACTTTATAGTACAGGTAATTTCGGAAAGAATAAAGAAAAAATCAGTACTATTTGATTAGTTTTGACGCGTGTCTTGAATTTTTTCCAATATTATCCACTGTGCGTCTGTGCACTTTAATTTTTCCCTTTGCTATGTTTTTTTCCTTTCGTTAAGTTTAGGGCTCATGATATATTCCTTTTCATTAGTTTACGGTTTGCACTAATTGGATCAAAATAAAACTTTTTATTCTTGCACTTGTTCTCTAAAGTGCATTCTTGATTAATTATAAATAGGCATTTTAATAATGCTCAAAATTGGTTTAAAATGGTTGTAACTCCACAAGCAGGCATTTTAGAGAAAAAATTGTAGAAATAGATAAATGTTTTTGTTTTGACCCTATTAACACGTCTGTGTAGTATAGTTTCAAAATCTTAACTTATTTAACAAAAAATTGATATTTCCACTGATTTTTAGCTATTTATTGAGGTTAGGGAAAAATCCTGACGTGATTGAGTTTTTGTGATGGCTCCATCGACGTCAAACGGGTCAAAATACAGCTCGTGCTATCAAAGATATGTAAGCTTGTTTATAGTTTATTACCCCTATAGAATAAATTTTAAAAAAGTGGAATACATTTGTGAAAATTATTCTAGAATTTGATCTTTGTCTAATGATATTGAATGGTAAGTATTTAAAAATAAATAAAAATAAAAATATAAAAGTAAATTTAAAAAAATTGGTACAATTTTTGTTCTCTTCACAAGTAAAACTTCGGCTGTTGTAGGACTAGGTGGTTTTTTTTTTATTATTTATAAATTGCTTCAAACTTTCAAACAATCAAATTATTGAGCATCATTTATCAAATTTAACGACATTCCAGCCGTGACAAACTAAGGTATTTACCTACTATATACCGACATTTTTTTTTTCATTGTTTTTTCATTGATATTGTTAAGGCATTAGCTAAAAATGTTATCGCTATAAGGACATTTTTTAAGCATGAGAGCGAATTACTGCAGATTTGTTTAAATAAATAATTACTCATCATATGTTTTTTGTATGTCACTTTCAAAATAATTACACTGAAATATTTTTAAAAAACTCTGGTAATTAATACGATAATATCCCTTTCCTCTTTCGTTATTTTCTTATCAGTAATAATAATAAAGACTCATGTGGTACCTATACTGATTGGCCTGTAATATATTTAATAATTAATACACCTAATACTGATAATAAAAATGTGATTTTAAGTTTTTGTGATCAAATTCCACCAACTGTGAAATTAAAACTGTTCTGGTATTTATTGGTACAATTGGTACTGATATTTATTTGTTAAATACTGATTTGAAATTTAATTGTATTTTAACAATTTTAAACGTTATCTATCACTGGCAGAAATCACACTCTGCGTGTTAGGACTGTTGGACTGACGAAAATTTATCAAATTACTATACGAATAGGAGATCAATTGATTAATAACATCTTTAAAAAAGAAAACCTATAATTTTCTTCTAGTTCTATATGAACTCTGCAAATGATTCAAAATTCAAAAATTAATCTTTCTTAAAATTGTTTTCTAGCCACGACACGGCATACTTCCGTGACGTCATCCAAGCAACCTTGCCATGTTCACATTTCTAACTACACAAAAAACTTGCGCCATTAAAATACTTCCGTATCATACAACCTAAATATATGATTCCATAATAATACTTTTCAAATTAACATAAATTAGTTCTAGTTCTACATCTAAACACTTATCTGCGTAAAATAAATACGCATACTAGATGTAATTACTGTGTGGTATGTTGCTAGCACTAACAGTACTCTTGCTCTTCTTCAGCTTGATTTTCTCCTTGATCAGAGCAAGCCTAGAAGATTCTCTATGAATTGGCACGATTTCTCTCGGAGAGCTCTGGCTCTTCGTCTTCTCTCTTTGCACGACAGAATAAAGATCGTAAGAAAATTTGTCGTTTCCTACCATAGGGCTCTGCAAACTAGTCAAATGACCTTTAACCAGCGTCGACTCGGTCTGGTTGTGTTCGGGCGTGTCCAGGAAGAATTTCGGCATGGAGTTTTGCCTAATAACCGGTACTTCCTTGGGAAAATCGATCTTGAGGTAGAGACTTTTGGACATGCGTCTCTCCCTCAGAGACTTTTTCCTAATCTCTACATCCGGTACGGTCAGATTTCTCGAGTGCGTAGAGGTGGAGTCAGGCTTCGATTTGTCGGGTTTCGAATCCGTTTCTGAACGTTCGAAGCTTACTGCCTTTTTGGCAATGGTTTCTTTCACGTCTTCATTTGATTTCTGGAAAAAAAAGAGTTCTATAGTTTGTGATAATACCACCGCGACAAATGAATAATATAGAATTTATATACAGGTTTAAGAGCGACGTTACGATAACTCACAAAAGAAAAGTTATTTCTCTTAAAATAATAAAATTGAATGACAGAATTACAGAAGAATGACAAAGATGAAAACATTGTTAACATTAGAATTAGAATATCTTAATGTTTTGCACAAATCGCATTTATGTATCTTAATGAATCTTAGTAGTACATACATTCAATTATTTCGAATGATATTCCTAAGATATCTGTATTTATAACACAGGCACACAAAAAAGTCCAAATCCAAGACATCCACATATCATTTCCGAAGGTATTCGATACGCTGAACACGATCCTGTAGTCAATATTCATCACTTCAATACAAATTTCGGAGAAAAGTGAGGTTTTTGGGTGAAACTGACCCAAATATCGGTCAAATGATGATTTTGATTTTGATTTTTTTCCTAAATTTTGTTGAAATATTTATTTATTTATTTATTTATTCATTCAAAACAGACAAATTGTCTAACTACATGGAAAATCATAACATTTACTAACATTCTTACAAATAATGTGCATGGTAACAACAGTAGCTTGAGAACTCCAGCAATTTACATCAATTAAACAAAATAATAATAATAAAAATATAAAGAGGAAAAATATAAAAAGAAAAACATAAAAAGAAAAATATAGGGTGCGAATCAAGGTACATAGCTATAATTAAATAAATTTCGAATTCTATTATAAAATTTGTACATCGATGGTTGGAAAAAATCAATATTATGTGTTAATGAGACATGGTTAACCAAACAAGACATGACTAAAAATGGTGAACTGTAAATAGTTTTAACAACAGGTATAAAAAGTAAACGGTAATGTCTGGCTATTATGGGCGAAATATTAAATTTAAACAATGATAAAATATACGAGTCATTTATAAGATTATTTAGTATTTTATAGACAAACACCAATGACGCAATACTTCTGCAATTAAAAAGTATATTCAATTGAAACTCTTGACATAAATGCATTGTTCTGGTAATGTTATAATGAGGAGGTCTATTATATTTTTTAACCCTTAATTTGGTAATGTGTACTATAGGATACATAATTTTTAAAAAATCACACATGCCAGAATAGCACGTATAGCCCTCTGTTATGACTGCTAGGTATTAATATAATCCAATTCCAAAGTTGCAACGCATTTACAGAGTCATCTGTACTGTGACAGTAAAACTACTCAAGTATTTAATCAAAATGGCCGCAGGCTGTAGCAGTTGGTCAGCACCTCAGGTAAACATCAAATTTTACACTTTTCTGTAATACAGTTTGCATTGGTCATAACTCTTTAGACAAACACCTTTAATAAGATTCTATACACTTTCTGTAGTTCACACGATGTGTTTTGTGGTGTAAATACTTTGTTATATATTATGTATCCTATAGTGCACATCGCCAAGTTTGCATATTATAGTAGATGTTACTCATAAGATACATCACCAAGTTTGCATAGTGTAGTAGCTGTTATTTATAAGACACATTGCCAAATATTCTTATAGCAATATTTGACTGTAACAACGTTTTAGTGTTTTTCAAAAATACATTTTTAAAGGTATTTGCGAGGGTGTTTGTCTAATAAAAACATAGGCACCATTACAATTAATATATCTCAGGGAACTAAACTCCGCCCTACATTTTCATCCAGAACTGCTAAAATTATTGCACTACTACCACCTGAAAATGGAGCTTCCGATGATGAAGACGTATCTAGCGATGATGACGTCGAAAGCGTATTAAAAATTTATGAAATGGATAATGTAGCACCTGATGCAACATCACTGGAAGATTCATTTAGTTCTGAGGC